CTAGGGTGTTTATTATTTTTAAGTTAATTATCTTTACCTGACCCTGTCCCTGGAAGCATGCTTGTCGTATGCATAAAGTCTCATGTTCTGCTGAAACATTGAGCATAACCCAATGGCTTACCCTGATTGCATAGTCATCAGCGTAAGAGAAACTTATCAGGTCCTCAAATGAGAAAGAATTTTTCATGTCCTTGACCTCCTAGTTTGAGGTAGACATGGTACCATTATGAATTAATGGTGAATCTTTTATTCAAAGATTGCAACTTACTCTACGATACGGAAGTTTAAACCACTCCTTCTTGATAAGCTAAACGGTTAATGATTCACGCTGATTTCACCTCAGCGTGACTGAAACAATCCATTCTTGTCCTTTTTCTTTAAAGTTTTATGATTCAATGTAATGTACCATACGCTGATGAGAACTTGACAAATCTGTGCCGATGGGTATATCATTGTCTGTGATATATTTCACACACCTATCCAATCTTGCCATTTTTCTTCTAATAAAAGAGATTTATGATTCGGCGTATGAAACCACACGCTGATGAGATCTCGAAATACTATGTCAATGAATGGTAGTTTAAGCCCACGCTATCAGGAGACATCTCAAACCAACTAGATAATCATCAATCTTCTCACTGATTGATTACGTTGATGCTGATGACATGTCTAAAGTATCTATCTTATCCAAACAGTAACTTTTTAAATAACGTAAAAAAGTTCATCATTATCTTGGGATACGAGATTTTATGGCACATATCTCTTCTCTCATGATTACGTTAGAAAGAAGATAATGTTTGGGTATAAATTGGGAATTCACCGCCCTAGGTCAATTTCATAAGCGATTCAAAAGTAATTGGCATTCTCTCAAAAAGCTCTCAATTGTCATCTTCCTCACAAATTTCACCATGTCAAAGCCCTTATACGAGTTTGCTCCCAACGCTAACGTCATCAAAGGTCCTCATGCTTCTGATGCCACCATCATCATTCAATAAAAAAATGTGGCATTCTTAGATGAAATCTCAAAACAGTTCGTGAATTCTAGAATCGAAGATTTTGTCGAGTTTGTCAAAAGTGGTCCACTTCGGTATGCATTCTGCGACTTTCCGAAACCTTTCTACCCTAAACAAGTATGTGAGTTATACTACACATGCTCTGTTGATACCATTGCTCCAACCATCTCTGGAACCATTGGAGATGCTCAATATAAGGTTAGTACTGATGTGGAAACCATTCGAACTGCTCTTCGCCTTCCCTATATGATAGATACTCTAAAACTCCTTCTAAAGACAGATGCAAGACTGTTCGTGAAAAACTAGGGTATAACTTCAAACTCAAGGGCCTTACTCTTGATCCCTACAGGAACACTCTTCGTCAATGTTTCAATGCAGGATGGAAATATTTAACAGGAGTGACTGGAAAGTGTCTTGGTCACAAGACTTGAAGTTTGGATCGGCTAAATCTCTTTGAGCAAATAATCTTATATGCCATTGTTTACAACAAGAAATTGAATTTTGCTCAAATCTTTATTGATCAGCTGATTGATTGTTGTTCTGGAAACAAGAGACCAGTGCATGTTCCTTACCCACGTTGGCTTGGATTGATCTTGTCTCGTGAAGAAGACTATGTTGAAAGCCATGGGATCATCATTCCCATTCCCGCTCTTTCCTCGAAAATCATCAATGTTGCCCCATATATTGATGATCTGTCTATTACTATAAGAATGAGAAAGTGGATTGAAAATCCATATTTGGTTGAATCATCAGACTCCGAAGAGGATGATGACAATGATGATGTTGGTGATGAAGAAGGAAATGATAATGAGAATTCAGAAGCTGGTCATCAAAAAGGAGCTGAAAAGGGAGAAGACTGATAAAAGATGAAAATAATTTAGCTAGCTGACATGGGAGAAGACTTCACTCAGAATATGAGTTCTCCTCCAAGGAAAAACAAGCACATACGTTTTTCATATTTTTCCCCTGATGATGACACTGAAAATTGTGGATCAACCCCTCTCATTGGAGATACTACTGAGCCAATGGTCCAGGATGAACCTTCTCCAACGCCATCTCCTTTTCCTCAAGCCGATACAATCCATCAAGCTGAAACGGTTCCTCCTACATCATCACCCATTAATGTTGTTGTTCCTCGTCAGGGTGACCAAGGAGAAGCCAGCTCCAACTTTGAAGCTGTTGTGTTTTCCTAACCCTCCTTACTTGTGCAGTTGAATCAGTCAATGGATAAAAAGATTGAATAAAGTTGAAAGGAATGTGGCCACAATGAAGAGAATTATGGCCTTGGATGGTGAAGATGATGATATGGTTGTTGATGACACTCCACTAAACTCTCCAGGTGATAACCCTCCTCCACCTCCTCCTCCATCACATCCTCCTCCAAAACTCCTTCTCCTACTCCTAAATCTCCTCCCCAATCTGATGTTGCCAAAAGGGGGAGAATTATCAAGAAGGTCCTCAGCCAATGCAAATGGTTATTACATTTCAACCTGAGATGACTGAAAGGAGTAAAGTTGAAGTTGATCCTCTAAAGCCGATTGATGTTGCTGATACTCATGATGCTGATGTTGCTTCTGATCAACCTATTCCAGATGATGTTCCAGACGCTGGTGACCAATTAGAAACTGATGACTATGAAAGGTTACTGGATCTTGGTTTCATGCAACAAGCTGTTGTTTTTGTTGTTCCATTAAACGTTATCTATCCTAGTTCTTGTTTTGAGGGGGGAGTTTGCTCAAGAGGTTCCTCAAGGAACAAATAGTGACATTGATTTTGATGATGGTGCCCAGCTTAATCCAAGAAAAAGAAAGGCTTCCTTTTCAGGGGGAACTGTTAACTCTGAAGCTGGAAGTTCCTCTGTAATTGGTGATACTTCAAGCCCTCCTAAAAAGAAAAGCAAACTCACTTTTGATTTGAGTAAGTTAGAAGAAACATGGAGCTTACCTATCGATAAATTAAACATATAATGGAGGAATACAATTCTGCTATTCAACAGAAGAAGGTAGTCAGAAAACAAGAATGCTTTTCTGCCAAACTTGTTCAAGAACTTATTTCTGCTGACAAAAATGTTGAAGTTCAAAGAACTGATGATCAGGTTAAGAAGAAGTTCAACAACACTGTAGAAAGACAACACATTGTTTCAAATCTTTATGAGCAGATTGATAAAAAGAAGTTTGGAGACGTTCTGACTCGAAGAACCAAGCCTGATCCCATTATCAAAGTAAGATGCACCAAGCCAAGGACCGAGTCACTAAAACTTCACCTGGTAAGAAAGAAAACCGAGTATGAATACACTGAAGTTGTGTTTTCTCGTGAGTTAGTCAAATTCAGCTACTACGAGTGGATGTAGATTCTTGAAATCATCAACAAATCATCAACAAGCATAAAAGTGTTCATGCCCAAATAGTGAAGTTGGCAATTCAGCAACTTCTCAATAAAGTGAAGAAACTAAACCTGGTACCATCTGTCGGTCCATCAACGAGTTCATCTAGATCAGCCTCATCAGGAAGAACATGCACTCACCGACAGTCCAAGAATACTAAGTTCCTTCTTCCTTATGGTACCAGATACATCAATAATGCATTACCAGTTGGTGTTGAACTTGTTCAGTACATATTCATTCCAGAGCCAGAGCACGGGATCTTCTATCTCGACAGTCAAAATCAGATGTGCTTTCAACGCACTGATGACCTTCCTTCTGTTCCCACTAAGCACTTGTTTTATCTTCGCTTGGAAGGGCTAGGTCACTATGAGCTGGAAAGAGGATATCGCGTGCTGATATCACTGGAGCTGAATAGAAGACTGGATGAGTTGAAACTTGATCAATTCAGATGGGTAAAGCCTGGAATTTTGAAAGAAGTTGACAAGTTCTACAATGGCTCTTCTTATGACTCTGAAGAAGAAGATTAGTTTTGACATCATCAGATAGGAGAGATTGTAAGGTCACACCTTATGATCTCATGAGTCAAACACACAATATGTTGATCCATCAGCGTCATCGTCTACGAGTCGACAGCACCAGCGTCAGCTTAACAAGTTCAACAGCATCATCTTACAGTTGTTCTATTGCAATCTTTTGTATATTAGGCAGTTATTATATATATATATATATATATATATATATATATATATATATATATATATATATATATTAGATCCCGTATCTTTATGATAAGATCGGTTCTTAGTATAGATTAGATACAATCCCATCAGTCAAGGGATATACATGTATAGATTAGTATATATACTACATTATGGCAAACCCTAATGTAGGGAGGTCGTGTTCGAGTTCATGGCTTTGTGTCAAACCTCGTCTTCTTGGTGAAAATAAAACATATTTTCTTGGTGAAAGGAACATTTGGAGAACTTCTGTGTTATTTACTTTCTGTTAATTATTTTGTTTAGATTAGTTTTACATTTCTTGTTCATACTTGAAGTATGTCCGATCATAATACAAACCTTCAACATTACGAAAGAAAGAATAACACAAACAAGAGAAAGGAAAATAAGGAAGGAAAATAATGTTGCTTAGTGTTTCTCTCTATGCATCAACTTGGGGTGCTAGGATATCATGCAATGTCATTATATGAGACTAGATTATCATGGTTACTAGATGATAACCTTCAAACCGGGAGACCAAACAAAATAACAAAAAATAAAGATAAAAATGGTTATAATGGGTATAATAACAAGTTTATGTTTAAACACAAAAAAATATGAAAGTTAGTCTTTTTTGAAATTAATCCTTGGAATTAATAATAACACATTTTTGTATCGATTTGATGGAATTGTTGAATGATATCAATCTATCATGCAACATGCATGAGGTATAAACTTTCTGAATGATAAAGAAACATCTTTGGGATAATAATGGCTTATGTTAAAACATTTTTTTAGCATGGTACTATAATATGTTACACAAAAGATTCATGACAATTGTTATTGCTTAACACGTTTTCAACCTAACATTGCATATTCACAAGAAAATGCATACTTGGCGAAAATTACAAAGTTTTTATACAAATCATTCGGATTAGTGAGTTCCAAAACTCACAATTCATAGAGATTATTATATTGTCAAATTACATACAAACTCAAAGTATCCTAATACCCCATAATAAAAAAATAATAAAAACGAAAATCTCTCCTATAAAAACTTTAAAGACCCACAAACATTCCTACAAAATCTTAGCTCCATAATCAAATTGTCATCAAAACAACTCAACAACCTGCAAGAACAAACAAGATCTAAACTTTTTGCTTTTTCCAGGACTATTCTTTCTATAATGACAATAATAAGGGTATTTTCGTCTTTTTGGGTAAGAAAAGAGAGCAAATAGCCAAATAGCAAAATCTTGAATTGGATAAAAATAAAAGGAAGTAAACCAAACCTTGAATCAATGTATCAAAGGAGCATGAAACTGCTTCAAAGCGTCACAATTTGGTGTTCCCTGTTTATTCCCCCAATGAATCCGTCGTTTTTCAATCTGACAATTATGAGAAAGAACTGAAATATACTCATCCTCGATTCTTTCTTCAATTTCAATTCTTTCAGGACTTTCTATCGGATAATCCCTTTCAAAACTACTCGATTTCACAAAAAAATTAACACCTTTTTGCGTAGTCAAACGATAATCATAACCATATTGCCTAGCAAGAGAATAAACCGGCTCATTAGATGGCAAAAAGTTCAACAAAAGAAGCAAAACCACCGGCAACAACTGAATCAAAGTCCGAATCCCCCCTGAACCGTTTCCCGCCGGCATCCCTGCACCTACGCCGGGACCGAAAGTAAATCCGGTGAACTGGGTGGTGGCACCGTGGTTCATACCTCCAAAAAAGTTCCTAAAGATTTCGTCGGCGTCCACCTCGCCGTCGTAATAGAACCCGTTGGTGAACCCATGACGGTGGCCACCGGCCGTTGGGGTGCGCCTCTCGTAAATGGGCTCATCTGACCCGAGAATATCGTACTGTTTACGATTCTCGTCGACGCTCAAACACTGGAAAGCTTTCGATACTTTTTTGAATGCTTCTTCGGATCCCGGAGCTTTGTTCTTGTCAGGGTGGACCTTCAAAGATAATTTTCTGTACGCTTTTCGGATATCGTCAACGCTACACGATTTTTCCAATCCTAATATCTCGTAATAATCCTTTTTCGTTTTGATTTCGCTCACGATCGTGATTTGTTCATCTGTGTATGATCCCGGTGATGAAGATCCGGTTGCCGGAGCCCTACGCCGTACACCAGAACTATCACCCGTGCTATTCTCCGACGGTTTCGATGGAGGTGAACCAGAAGGCGATTCATCGGCCGGGTTGTCGGGTTCTAGATTCGATAATAGATCGTCAACGGGAAGCGAAGGATCTAATCTTCGAGCTTTTGAGATGAATTTTAGGGCACGAGCTCGATCACCCAACCCTAACGCATCTTTTCCGATTTTTAAACATCTCAAAGCATCGTCTTTATTTCCATCCATCTCAAGGGGTTCAAAACTTTCCCTAGAAACAGAGTATATAACCGAATTGAACAATAAATATGTGATTATCGGAATTTTACCAGGAATCGATAAGGAAACCCCAAATTTTAATAAATAACAGCAATCGGGAACCCTGTGAGATGAGATTATGCTTGATGTATGACAAATTGAATGGGGTTTTTAGCAATTAACTGATCGTGTAGAAGATTTGTGAGAGAAAGGAGAAGAGCTATACAAAGATGGAACAGAAATGGAGAGAAATTTTCATCATCCTGGGAACCCCTGTAGGAGAAAGGGGAGGTGAATATGGCCGATTCGTTGAATATAAGCATGAGGCTTTGCAAAATCTATTTACCAGGGAGATATAGTGGTAGTTAAGAAATATTATAGAATCGTGATTTTATTTTAGGCAAATTCTACAAAAGTAATTAAAGTTTTTTTTTTTTTTAAATTCGTTTTGACATTGGTTAGTTTTTCCTTTTTAATTTGGGAAAATGACATAAAAGCCCTTAAGTTTTCACAAAAATATCGGTTTTACCCTTGGACGTGTTTTATGTCCGGTAAAGCCCGAAGTTTTGTTTAATTTGTTTATTTTTACCCTTGTAGCCGGTTTCCAGGTAACCTACCGGTTACCTAATGTCATTAAAGCCCTTGAATTTTCAAAAATGTTTGGATTTACCCTTAAATTTTTCAAAAATGTTCAGATTTACCCTTAAGTTTTCCATTTACGAGTCTTGTTTGTTGATCATTTATTGTTATCTACTAACTATTAACCTAATATAGTTGAATAATAGAGGTTTTTTCAAATTTTATACTAAATCTTATCTGTAATCGAGTGTTTTTATTGAGGTTTTCTAATTACGAGGGTTTTATAATTGTTACGTTATGTTTTTAATTAATGAATATTTATTTTGCTTATCTATTTAGTATGATGTTTGATAATAAATACATATTTATACTTGGTAATATGTACAAATACATATAATTATATCTTTTATATAATATAAACCATATAAAACATATTTTTATATTTATATGTATATAATATATTTTATATGAAATAAATATATATTTATACTTATACCTACTAAATACAAATAAATACATTTTTAATATATAAATACATTTCTATAGGAATACATGGGCTTTCAAATGTATATATAAATATTAAATACAAGTATATATATTTTTAAAAATATATTTATATTAGTAAAAATATTTTTATACATTTAAAAATGTGTGTATAAAATATTTTTATACATTTAAAATGTATTAATAATAATAATAATAATAATAATAATAATAATAAAATAATAATAATAATATGTATAAAAATGTATTAAAAACGTATGAAATATTTTTATACATTTAAAAATGTATGTATAAAATATTTTTATACAATTAAAAATGTAATAATAATAATAATAATAATAATAATAATAATAATAATAACAATCAAGGTAAGGGTAAATTCGAACATTTTTGAAAAACTTAAGGGTAAATCCGAACATTTTTGAAAATTCAAGGGCTTTACTGGCATTAGGTAACCTAGGTAACCGGTAGGTTACCTGGAAACCGGCTACAAGGGTAAAAATGAACAAATTAAACAAAACTTCGGGCTTTACTGGACATAAAACACGTCCAAGGGTAAAACCGACATTTTTGTGAAAACTTAAGGGCTTTTATGTCATTTTCCCTTTTAATTTGAACACTATATTTGATATTTGGATTCAATTTGGACCGTTTAATCGAGTAGCGGTTAACTACAAGTAATCACCAACCTAACTTCGTCCACATTTATTTATCAAATGACTTCTAGTCCAACAGTATTCGGTGTTGTCATTCCTCCTTGAGGTTGAGGGTTCACGTCTTGCCGTGACCATAGGTGAATTTAAGGAGTGTAGTTTAGAATTTGGCTATATTTGTCGTTTCAAAAAAAAATCACCCTTGCCATGTCATCACCCTCATTTAACCCTTTTTCTAATTTAACCAAACGCATACCAATCAAATCTTTTTATTTCTCTATTGATTAACTAGGATTTTTTACAACTTTATAAAATCTACCTAGTTTCTAAAGGCAAACACACGTGGATTGAAGTAAGAATCTTGAAATCGTCGTATGCAAGTGTTGGGTTTTGAGCATTCTAACACTCCTATGGTGTACATGCAACCCTATAAACCTTGGATCTATGTTTTCTCTATTATACATGCAAATATTAACTATTCCAAGGTTTCATCCTAACTAGCATATTATGAAGCACCTATACTACAAAGTTCTAGTTAGATGACATACCTTTTGATGTAGCTTGATGTCTTCAAGCTTTAAGAGCTTAGCCCCAATAGTGTGGAAGCCTCAAATGGAATCACAAATCACCAAAACACCTTGGAAGAACTTGAGAGAATATGTATGCACACTAAAATCGGCCCACTCTTATTTTCACACACTTGTTCCAATTTTGTGAGCCAAGGACCCCTTTATATATATTATGGAGGATTAGGGTTACATCCATGTAAACCCTAATACCCATGACCTTTCATTTACATAAGATCCATGGGTTAAAAGCTCCATGGACCATCCATGAAAGCTTAGCCCAACCTAAATGAACTTGGCCCATTCCATATATATAAGAGTCCATATTTAATTAGTTATTTTTGATCACTTAATTAATTCTAAATTAATTCTTGATCAATACTAATTAAATAATATGATTCCATATTAATATATTAGAACTTATAATATATTAATATAAATCATAATATACTATTCTCAAAAGACTATCCATATAAATTATGCCGGTGAAGTGCAACCCAAATGGACCATGCCGGGTCGGGTCAAGTACATACCAAATATAGTTATGGACTTAGACATTAATCCAACAGTCTCCCACTTGGATAAGTCTAAAACTATTATTGAGTATGACTTCAAAACCTAACTGGCAATCGTAGCTCTTAAAGTCACTGTCGAACTCTGACCTTGTCAATGACTTGTCCATTAGATAAGGGATCATATATTCCTCCATTCTAGATATCATATGGACCGAGACATGGATTATAATCATTCTCTATGTCCATTTGTTGTTTCCCGATTTTCGATTTATGATGACTGACTGATTGAACAGATCAAATCAGTCCTGGCTTGGCCAAGCACTCACATGTGTCATCGCTAAATCATCGAGGGGCCCACAGATATCGCTTTTATCCCGAAGGTAAAAGGAATGGATAAACTTCGACTCATATGGCTTGTTCTACTACTTGTTGAATTATACACAAAGGCATGTTTTATAACGTCGAGTTACCAATGCGTTTTCGTGCAATCAATGTATAACCAACTCATAGTAACAACTCATATCTCTAGGTTTTAAGAATATAAGATATTATCGTCTCATGATCACTCGTGATAAAATCCATGAAGTGATTCAAATGAGCGTGGGTTGAATCCAATACTCAGAACTTATGAGCACTCATGAGTGTTGTAGCACCACTTTGCCCACCAACTTGGACCTCTACAAACCAACCCATGACAGTCTTGATTCATATCTACTTCCAACATATGACCGACTGTGGATGGTTTGAATAACTTAATCATTCAGGAAGAGCGACTTACTTATTCTGGAAGTCAAAACATGCAAAGTGAAACACAAGAATAAATGAATCAAATATGGTATCAAACCCTATGAATATAAATAAACACTTTTATTTATCACCATACTGATTACTCATTATTCATTGTTTCGGTTTTATCAACTTTATACTTGAATTAAAAACACTAGTTGTCCCATGCTCCAAGCATGTACACTATGTTTTTCTTAAACAATAGCTTTGCCATACACCAAGTATGCACTCTATGTTTGTCTATGATCCTTACTTTGTGAAATAAACCAATTGAACATAATTTCAATGATTCTAATTTCACACTCCCAAATCCTTATCGAAAAATGTGAGAATTTCAAATTCCTATCATTTATCGAAATCTGTTTAGATTTTAAACTTATATGCACTGACCCTCCTGTAATGAATATGTACAAAGTCACAAAGACTTGTCAACAGTCATTATAAGGTATTCCAATGGAGATCAACTCCATGGAAACTAAGTCTCATATTCAAAGTACATTGCTTTGGACATGCTTCTTGCATTAAGTTTTCTAATCTTACACAGATAACTTCCACCTATGGAGACAACTCCATATTCTCATTTTGACTATCACTTCTGAATAAGAGATGCCTCTTTTCAGAATATGTCAATATGGTCCTTCCAAAATTAGCACTATACTTCCAACTGTCCCTGAGCAACCAATCTTTGGTAAACCTCAGATTGTCCTCGACAATTGCTTAATCATTTTAGTCATATCCAATTCTAGACCTTTTCCCTTCTTAATGCCTCTGGGCATTTGGAAAAATTTAGAAATGACAAATATTATAGCACATGCAATCGATCCTGTACCCAAAGCAAATGGTACACGATTCATGATGTCTCACATAAAGACATGATTCTAGACCAGTCTTTTGCTACAATATTTTTTTTGCCATGTTTTCAAAATTTGACTATGAAGAGGGATGCCGTAATCATAATCGAATTTTGAGAACGCAATATATAGAATTTCCTTAAGTTGAACCGATCCAACATGAAATTCATATATATATTCTTGACTAAGGATGATTAAGGTCTCAATCTAAGCCTTTAGAACTGAAATGAAGTATATCCTCTCCCTTAATTATAACAAAACAACTTTTTCAATCCCTGCAACCTCACGAATTGAAACTTTTGTTTTCTATAATTAACATTGCTAACTTGCAGCACTAACAATAATTATCATGCTCCCACTAACATGATGATTATTAGCATAACACTTATGCTCCCACTAGCTTTGACATGTACTCAGAAATCAGCTGGACTTCTAGAAATCAATACTTTATTGACTTTCTTACCAAAGTTCAGATTTCTGATACGAGATGCTTTGATAAAACTTTATCAAAATCATACACCTTTCCTTAGATAGCAA